CCTCGCGCACCAGGAAACAAAGAGGGAAGAAAAAGTCTCTTGCCTCTTCGGCAGGTCCAGACTTTTCCCTGGACTCCCTCCCGGCTAGCCGTGGTGCACTAACCCCCTGCAGGCTGTGTTCACGCCACCAACCCCTGTCCTCTCCCTGCGCTCCGACCGAAGCCCGAGCCTCAACTCCCAGCCCCGCCTGCCCCGGCGGGTGAGCAGACAAGCCTCTCGGGCTGGTGAGTGCCGGTGGGCCCTGATCCTCTGTGCGGAAATCTCTCCACTTTGCCCTCCGCACCCCTGTGGCTGCGCTCTCCACCGTGGCTCCGAAGCTTCCCCCTCCGCCACCCACAGTCTCCGCCCCCGAAGGGGCTTCCTAGTGTGTGGAAACCCTTCCTCCTTCACAGCTCCCTCCCACTGGTCCAGGTCCCGTCCCTATCCTTTTTTCTCTGTTTATTCTTTTTTCTTTTGCCCTACCCAGGTACGTGGGGGGTTACTTGACTTTTGGGAGGTCTGAGGTCTTCTGCCAGCGTTCAGTAGGTGTTCTGTAGGAGATATTCCACGTGTAGATGTATTTCTGGTGTATCTGTGGGGAGGAAGGTGATCTCCACGTCTTACTCTTCCGCCATCTTCCCAGAAGCCCCAGTCCCTTTTGGAACTGCACTTCATCTTTTCCTCTTTTCCTTCTCAGAGAAGATTGTTTACATACATAGACTTACCTTTCTTCCAGTTCACTTTTTTCTTTTTAATTAGGGAAAATAATGAAAGTAAATCGATGCTTAATGTTTTAAAATGCATATAAAAATAGTAGCCCGATCATCTGTATTTCTTCTCCCCCCAGTACCTCAATTTTCCTCAGAGATGCCCACTTTTAACATTTTGGTGATAAGGCACTGTAGATGCATTTACATCAGTGTAATTAAGTGAAAATAGACGTATGTGTAACATGTTTTTGCACAAATGCTATCACATTCCCATACCCATCTTGCTTTCCCCACATGATTATATCCTGGGTGTTGTTTCTCATCAATACATAAAGATTATTTCAGTTCCTATTTCGTGGTATGGATGTATCATTTAACTATTTCTCTATTCGTAGATATTGGGGTTTTTATTCATTTTTTTTACTATTATAAACAGTGCCTCATGAACAGCTTTCTATATATCTATAAGCTCAGTAGTATAAGTGTTGTGGAGGGTTCACATGGAAATCAGATTGCTGAATAAAAGCCTGGAAAATTGGATCACAGAAATTATCTGGTCTTTGAAAACTAATGAAAGTAGTAATTATGAAGGAGTTGGGAGTACAAATTTAAATGTAAGATGAAAAGGCACCCAATTCATTTTATGAAGCCACTTAAATTTGATGAAGAGGGCTTCCTTGGTGGCGCAGTGGTTGAGAGTCCGCCTGCCAATGCAGGGGACACGGGTTCATGCCCCGGTCCGGGAAGATCCCACATGCTGCGGAGCAGCTGGGCCCGTGAGCCATGGCCACTGAGCCTGCGCGTCCGGAGCCTGTGCTCCGCAACAGGAGAGGCCACAACAGTGAGAGGCCCGTGTACCGCCAAAAAAATAATTTGATGAAGATACTACAAAAAAGAAAATTATAGACCAGCTTTGCTTAAGAATATGAATGCCCAAAATTTAAAAATATTCTGCATAGAATAGTAATAATTTGAATTACACATTTTTTAAAGTAATGCATGCACAGGGTAAAAATTTCAAGCAAAAGCTTTGTTCAAGAAAAGGTAAAAAATAATTCGCCCTCTCACTCTGTCCCCATGTCTCCTTCAGTGTTTCATACATTCTTCCAGAGATAATGTATGCATCTCTATCTAGATATATGAATCTCTTAAAAAATTTTTTTGCAAATTAAAGCACATTGTTGTCCTTGTCTTAATGATCATTCCATTGCAGTTGTATATAGCTTATCCCAGGGATTCTGAACTGTGGCACTCTCGCCATTTTGGGCCAGATTATTCTTTGTTGTTTGGGATGGTCCTGTGCATTTTACCATGTATAGCAGCATCCCTGTCCTCTATCCGCTAGATGCCAGTAGCACTCCCTCCCCCAGTTTTGACAACCAGAATGTCTCCCGACATTGCCAAGTGTCTCCTGGGGGACAAAATTACACAAGGTTTCAAACCAGTGGTCTACCTTATTTACAAAAATAGCCACTTGATATTCTAGTGGATGGAAATGCCATTTATTATTTACCTTTCTCCTAGTGATGTATATTTAGGATATTTCTAGGCTTTTGCTACCATAAACAACATAGCAGTGAATATCCATGTACATTCCAGTTGTATGCATATGAGTATATCTTTCTAGAAGTGACATTTCTAGGTCAGTGGTTACAGACATTTTGAATTTTGATTTAAGATTGTCAAATTGCCCTCCAAATAGCACGTAGCAGTTTGTACTCCTAGCAGCAGTATGATGCCTTTTCCCATAAACAGGCAATCACAGTGATTTTTGCCATTGTGAGGGGAAAAAAGAGTGGTGCATTTTAATTTGCATTTCTTGAATTGAGTGTCTGTTCATATTTTTAAATGTAATTTGCACTTTTTCCTTTCAGATGATTATTCTAAGTTGTTTGCACATTTTTCTCTTGGGTGTGGAATTACTTTGATTGCTGATTGCTAGCTCTTTATGTTAACTTAATAAGTAAATTAGACCTCTATCATGTATGTTGTAAATATTTTTTCATGGTTTCTCATTTGACTGGGTTTACATATCTTGGAGAGTAGACACTTAAATTTTTAAAATGTGATCTAATTTCACAATCTTTAGTGGCTTCCAGATTTCATGTATTGCTTCAAAAGGCTTTTGTGAGTCAAGATTATAAAAATGTCATTTCAGTTATGGGAAAAGGAGTGGTTAATGAATGATGGTGGCACAACTGAGTTTCCATCTGGATGGAAACAAAGCTAGACTCTTCTACATCATATGAAAGTAAAATGCCAGATTGATTAAAGAACTACATATATATTTGAGAAATTAGATGAAAATTTAAGAGGATATTTCTGTAACCTTGTTCAATGCAAGAAATATTTTTAATGAAATACAAAACCCAGAAACCATACAGAGAAAGACTGTCAGATTAGACTGCATTAAAATGTTAAAATCTGTACAGTCAAAAGACATTTGAGGCTGAAAGGCGGTGCATATGATACACAGAGGATTTATATACAGAAAATGCAAACTGATGATACAAAAAAGACCAAAAATGTGATAGAAAAATAGAAAGATAGTACAGACAGTCCAAAAAAAAAAAGTGGGTGATGCCGTAAGGGAAGATGTTTACCTTTTCCTTATGGCTCATTTTTATTCCTCCTTTTCTGTTGCATTCCAACAAATGAAACCAGTCTTGGCCCTTCTACTAACTGTTTGCCTTCCAGGTGGAAGTGTGTGTGTGTGTGTGTGTGTGTACAAAAAAACCCAAAATTTTTGCACGGGTTATTTTTAATGAAAATATGCTCCTACTATGCATACTCTGCTTTTTTTCATTTAACAAAAATATATCAGACATCCTTTCATGTCAGCCAATTTTTATAATGGCCGTTTTAGAGTATAGCCATAACAATTTATTTAACCACTCTGTCATCCACCAGTCCAGATGCAGCTTGTTGACTATCAGGGTTCATTCTTATCAGAATCAATGTTGCCTGGTGATATAGCTGTCATGCCACCATTATTAGATTCCCAGGAACACAGGACATTGAGGGCCGTCTCCCCTTATTTTTTGCTAATACAAATAATGCTGCCTTGACCATCCTTATGCCCATATAAATATTTCAGTAGGATAGAGTCCTGGTTAAAATATGAGAAAAAATGTAATAGGTACTGCCAAACTACCTGTCAACCAGCCTTCTATGAGAGTATTCATGTTCCTATATGAGGAACAGTGGCTCATGAACAGTGAGCCGCTCGTGAACAGTGGCTCTTCTCTATCATTTGAATGTTTACCAACCTTATAGGTAAAAGACAGTATCTTACTGTTTAATTAGCATGTATTTGAACTTTAATGAGGTTTATAATCTATTTGTATGTTTATGCTTATATTTTTGTTGCTATGAATCTTTTGTCTATTTTATTGAGTTGTGTTTTCTTAACTGACATCAAAAAGTCTAGGGTAACAATCCTAGAAAGGGCACTGCTGCATTAAAGAGTATTTGCAACATACATTTTGATGTATATTAACCTGTTGCTCCACCCCCTTCCCCCGAAGGCAATAAATAGTTTATAACTTCTTTGGTGTTTTTCTACACACTTGACTGCAGTAGGTATTATCAACCTGTTGAATGTTTAAGAAGCTGAAGGGTATAAATAAATCCTGGAGATCTAATGCCCAGCATAGTGATTATAGTCAACAGTACTGTATTATAAACTTCAAAGTTGCCGAGAGACTAGATCTTAATTGTTCTCACTACAAAAAAGAAATGATAATTGTGTGACGTGATAGAGGTGTTAGCTAATGCTACTGGACTGTTGGTAATCATATTGCAAAATATAAATGTATCAAATCAACACATTGTACATCTTAAACTTACACAATGTTATATGTTAATTATATCTCAAGAAGAAAAAGAATCTGAAGGGTGATAAATGGTATACTATTATAAATTTATTTCACATTCCTCCAGTTATACTGTATTAGGTTGTGGTCTCTTTCTTAAAGATTTGTTAGAATTTTAGTGTATGAAGGAAATTAGATCATTGTTATGTAGCTTACAAATATTTTTACCACTTTGATACTGATGTTTGAGAATTTAAAAAATTATTTTCTTTCTGCTATTTAGAAATTTCTAACGTCTAGGTAATCAAGTTTGCCAGTCTTTAGCTATATGTCTTCTGAATTTGGGGATGGCTTAGAAAGACTTTTGCCACTCTAGAATTATAAAAACTTTCAACTAGTAATTTTATGATCATCCTGCACACATTTAAATCTCTGACATATCTGTAATTTATTTTGGAGTTCGGAGTGAGATAGCTAATGCAGCTTTATGGTATGCTTTTTCCCTGCATAAATACCTAGCCAGATTTTGCTAATGACTTCTTTTCTACAGCGATTTGAGATACTTTCATTCTGGACTAAATTCTGACCCTGTGTGTGTAGGATCTGTTAGGGGTTTTTAACTTTCTTCATTGTCATTACTGAAGCATAACACTAAGTATAGCATGAATAAAATTCTTCCTCCTCATTAGGGAAATCTGACCTCGAGTTAACCTGGTTTTAGCTTTGTGTCCCTGGAAACCCAATAATGGTGGAATGACAGCTGTATTACCAGGCGTTGTTACTTAGGATCAAAATGACTCTTTTTAATCTGTACAAATCAAGCATTTTATTTATATAGCAAGGAAGCACTCATTTATTCTCCATTTAAATACCACACTTGAGATTTAAGATCACGTTTGGCAGTGTACTGCAGGATGCTAAATAAGACTTCACTCATATGGCTTTGGATTTCTTGATACCTTGTTACATTTTCCATCATCCACTGGAACAATTAGTTCAGCTTCCTTAACCTAAACTCGAAGCTTCCTGGATGTAAAAGCCACAATGACTCTTGATTGGTAAACAAACTGCACCTGGACTGGGAGGACTGTGAATAACTGAAAATAGCTGATAGGAAGCCACCGATTTGGGTTTTCCTGAGTCCAGTGTAACTCTCATAACTGGGCATGTCCTTTGCCAGGACCTTGGAAGATGTGCTCAGGGGCCTGTTACAAGAGATACTGGTACATGGAGCAGCTTCTGGCTTCCAAGCCAGATACTGCCTGCACTTGCCAGTGTGGCCCTGTTCCCGGGCACCTCAGGTGGGACGGGGCAGGTTGAGCTACTGGATTGTACTGAGAACTCCTCTTGCTGGCGTCACTGCCCTTTGGCCCACTGTTTCCTGTCTCCCTCTGCAAAGCTGAGTAAACTGGTGCCACATATGGCCCATGGGGGCCTTGTGGGTGCAAAATGTCTCCTTGAATTTAAGGCCACCAAGTGTGGGTGGGACAGGATGGAATCCAGAATGTAAATAGGTGGATTATTGCTCTCTGATAGGAATCCAGGCACTTAGAGAAGTAAATTCTTATTTGGTGGTGATAAGATCAAGTACAGACCTTTCCTTTTTTACCTCAATCTGCTGACCAGGCCAGATATAGTCCTGTTCTTTGACTCATGATTGATTGGATAATCAGCACTGTTGGTCGTGATTGAGTAGCTGTGTTTCGAACTGTTTCTTCTAGATCTACATCCCCTTCAAAGCCTTCTCTGTCAGCCCTAAGCAGAACTGACGTCTCCCTATTCTGGGTTCCCTGCCCTACCTCTGCCATTGCCTCCTTCCTTTCCTCCCACCCTTTCATGTATGAGTTTGTAAGTGTTGTTTTTCTCCCTCTACTAGACTGTATGTAGCTCCTTCAATTCAGGAGGTGTTTGTTTTTATTAACCTTTACATCCTTAGAATTTATCAGCTTGCTCTCCAGTCAATAAATATGTGTTGGAAGAATGAATTTCCAGGGTAAAATATTTCTAACACTCGATCTCTTTCCCCATAGAGTTTAAAATAATTTTAGTTACATAAGCACCCTATATACTATACTATGTCAAATTGTGGATGGTGAATAGCATAAGAACAATTACGTAGAGAAAGGCAATTCAGTGTCTAAAAAGTGCGTGCGGAAACCAGACTGAATGGACTTTAATCCTTAATTCCTACCTGTGTGATCCTGAGCAGGTGACCTCACACTCTGTGAGCCTTCCTGTCCTCATCTGTCAGGGTTCTCCTGGGTGGTGGGGAGGACTGAAATCTTTCTACGTGTGAAGGACATAGGATGGGCACAGAGTGGGCACTTGATGTAACATACTGTCTCCATCTGCAAGCCAATCACTGGGCTAAAGAAGAGTGTGCTGTTGCAGGAAATGTTGACCATCAGGGATGTGTTTGTGGACTTCACCCTGGAGGAGTGGCAGCAGCTGGACGCCACTCAGAAGAACCTCTGCAGGGATGTCATGCTGGAGAACTACAGCCACCTTGTCTCCGTGGGTGAGGGACCCTTCACAGGGTGACTGGAACGCACCCCCCGGGGCTCCCTCTCTGTCGACTGCTGCAGCTCAGGGGCGTCTGGGCCCTGAATGAATCGGGCCTTAGGCTCACGGTCAAGAATTCATAATGGCATTTGCACCCTGCACGGGATGTCTGTGCTGTTACCTTCTCTGTGGATGGTCTGCACTGAGGGCCCACTAGCTGGGCTCACGGGGCAGTCACTGAGGCCAGACCATCTCTGCCCTGCAAGGATGGGCCTCGGTTCCGGAATGCCTCATGTGTCAATTAGAAAGTCCTCTGTCATTTCCCCTTAACAGGATTCCTCGTGGCCCAACCAGGTAGGATCTCCAGGTTGGGACAAGGAGAAGAGGAGGCCAGGATGGCAGCTGGAGAAAGCGCAACACGGAGGTGTCCAGGTGAGCCCATGCCGGGCCAGTTGGGCCAGGGCAAGGGGACCTGGTGGGTCAGGGAGAGCTTGGCCTCGGGGGCGCACCCAGGAGTTCTTCTCAGAAACCCCAGACTTGGGGACACAATTCGGGTCTGATGGAACGAGCTGCTGTGATAGCCACACGATGCCCCACCTGCTGCCCCTCTGCAGCCCCTTGTTCTTGGGGTTCAGACAGAGGCAGCCACTGCTGTTCTGTAGATCCCGTCTCCACCTTCCAGCATCTGGGTGGCTAGGGAGACGTGCCCAGCCTTGTCTCCTTCCTCCTCCCTCTCCTTTCTGGAAGCTGTTGGGACTTTCCCCATCTCTTGGGCATTTGTGTGTTCATCAGAAGACAAGCAGATGGAGGGGTGATGTTTCCTCTTTACTTGGCATACTGTGGGCCCTCGAAGTCTGAAACGCAGAGTCCTTAACCTCAGGGAAATTATCCTACCTGGTTTACTGGAGTTGGGATGGACAAAAAAAAAAAGCTTTGCTAGTGGCCTTCAGCTCTACCAGGCAAGTGAGAATGGTCTCATGGAGATTGTCCTCCAATATTTATAATGATATAATATCAATCCTATACAAACCCTTTAGGAAAATAAGGAGGAAATAATTCCCAGCAAGTTTTTTAGACCAGCATTACCCTGACAGCTGACCAAGAAATTAAAGGGAAAGAAAAGTACAGACCAATAAATCTCATGAATATTGATGTACAAACCCTTAACAAAATATTTAGCAAATGGAATCCAATAACATTTGAAAATGAATGCAAGGTTAACATTCAGAATTCAATTTAATTAAATATATTAACAGAATAAAGGCAAAAGCATATGATCATCTCAATGGTTACAGGAAAATAATGTGGCAAAATTAATATATGTTCGTGATTTTTAAAAATCCCTTAATAAACTAGGAATAGAAAGGAACTTCCTCAGTCTGTTAAAGGGCATTTATAAAACGCCAACACCATATTGAATGGTACAAGCCTAAACACTTTCTCTCAAGCTCATTAATTCTTTCCTTGGTTGTAATGAGTCTATGATGAGCCTGGCATCCCTAGGAGTAAGACTGATGGGCACCAACAGAATTGCAGTTTAATATTACAATCAGAAAAAGGCAAGATTTGGGAATTCCCTGGCCTAACCAGGGACTAACCACTGGACTCCGCATTTCCATTGCAGGGGGCTCGAGTTCGATCCCTGGTCAGAGAACTAAGATCCTGCAAGCCAGCTGGTACGGCGAAAAATAAAAAAAAAAGGCAAGATTCAAAGAGAGAAGTCTGAGGGCAAGTGCTTCATTAAAAAGTGAGGGTCCCTTGCTGAGTTCCCAGACCTGAGCCAAATTTTAGATCTGGAACCAATTGTCTAGAGAGGTGCCCATGTCCCTTATAGGAAGAACCCTACAACATTGTAGCAAACATAAAATACTTATCTTAGTCCCTTTCCGAGGGAACCTATGGCCATTTATCTGGGTGACTATGGTCATTGGGGAAAAGGGAATATTTTTAGGACTATTGGACACAGCTTTCTGAGTTGACATTAATACCCAGATATGCAAAGCATCACCATGGCCCTCCTGTTAAGAGTGGGGGCTTACTGGGTAGAGGTGTTACACTGAGTCCTCACTTAAACCTGATTCACAGTGGCCCACTGCACACGCAGACCCATCCAGTGGTGATTTCCTCAGTCTCCTAGTGTACAATTGGAATTCATATACTTATCAGTTGGACCATTTACTACCTCTCTCCTCACCTGTAAAGTTTGTTAGCTGATAATTTATGTAACAGTATTCAGTGGTTACAGAATAAAGAACTATGGAGATAACTTATTTTTATCCAAAAAAATCACATACAGATATTACAATCACAGGATACCCATTTTTAAGATGCAAAACATATACTCAAAACCATACACTCAAACAACCACATGGAAAAGGAATAGGGAATATATAGACATATGTGAAAATGGGGTCCTTTTAAGAGGAGAATTGTGTCACATATTAAAGACAAAGCTGAATGGGAAAATGGATTGGAAGACAGAATCAACTATGCACAAGATCATTTTATTGGTAGTTTCTGCAGACGACATTTAAAAAATTAAAAACTCAATAATCCTACCACCCAAGTGATAATCTGGATAATCTGCTTAATAATTTGTTGTATTTCCTTCCGAGCTTTTTGTTCTGTGTCTACCTATACACACACACCTACAACAGATACAAATATAAAACAAATATATTTGTATACATATGTATGTGCAAATAATTTTACTCAGCATAAAACTGCTACTTTTCTGCCATCCAGAGTCACTGATATAATGGTGCATTATCCATCCTTGATGTATTTTTTTATAATGTAAGTTATGTGGTACATTGTTTTATGTTTTTTCACTTAGCCAATTACCATGAACATTTCCCCAAATCCTCAAACATGAAAAAATTTTTAATTAGTGCATACTATTCTATCTTATTGATATGTCAGTTTTTAATCAATTGACTATTGGATATTCAATTTATTTTTTTTCTATTTTAAATAGTATTATGTTAAGGGAGATAAGCTGAAAATTAAAGACCTTTTACTGACTAATAAAATGAGGCATAAATGTAACCATAAAATGATTACCCTTAAATATTAAGTTATAAGCACTGTTCCTAAGTGAGGTGTGTCAAAGCTTAATATATGACTTTTCTGTAAGGGGTTTGCATTTCTGCACTGAAAGTGTTGATGAATATGTGTAAGATCTCCTGTTTGAGCTCCTTTGTTTCAGGGATCATGATGAGTCATCCTCCGTCACACCACTTAAGGAAGCAATTTTTCTATTTTGTTTAAGAAGTAAACTGGGAGTTTGCCCTAGCTAGGATTAACAATTTTTGCTTTATATTTTTCTTTCAAAAATGTCATCCTCTACTCCACAGTGAACATATCTTAATTATTGAGTGCTTGTTTGCAACCTCTGCACCTTTCACACAAAATGTGTGGTATAGACTATGGAACATATTTCTCTCATAATTTCTAACACAGTTTTCTAAACTCATTAAATTCTTTGTTTTTCCTCAGCATAAATACTCTGATAGGTCAGCAAAAATACTCTGATAGGCAAGGATATTTAAATTCTTTCTAAAGTCTTTTCCACATCAATATATTCACAGTTTTGCCACTTTTGAATTCTCTGGTATACAGTTCTCCACTTGTGTAAGAATTCTGCGTGAAAAATTGATCACATTTATTATATCCTTCTGGAATTATACTTTTGTGCCTTTTATTAAGTTAAATGAACATTAATATATGAAGAGTTTTTGACACTTTTTGATATTTATAAGGTTACTCCCCAGGATGAATTGATATATAATATAATGAGGTGTAACTAGTGAAATTATCTCACAGTAAAGTATCTTAATAGGTTTTCTCTCCTGTATGACTTTTCTGATGTTTAATGAGAGTTGACTTCCCACTGAAGGCTTTGCCACATTCTCTGCATTCATAAGGTTTCTCTCCTGTATGAGTTCTGTGATGTATGAGAGTTGATTTCGCACTGAAGGCTTTGCCACATTCACTACATTCATAGGGTTTTTCTCTTGTATGAATTCTCTGATGTTTAATGAGAGCTGACTTCCTACTGAATGCTTTCCTACAGTCACTGCATTCATAGGGTCTCTCTCTGTATGAATTCTCTGATGTTTAGTCAGTGGTGACTTTTCATTGAAGGCTTTCCCACATTCGTTGCATTTATAGGGTTTTTCTCCTGTATGAGTTCTCTGATGTACAATAAGGGTTGACTTCTCACCAAATGCTTTCCCACATCTTCTGCATTCATAAGGTTTCTCTCCTGTATGAGTTCTATGATGGACAGAGAGGTGTGATTTTCCACTGAAAGTCTTCCCACATATGCTGCATTCATAGGGTTTCTCTCCTGTATGAACTCTCTGATGAATAGAAAGGTGTGACTTTCCCCTGAAGCCTTTTCCGCATTTACTGCACTCATAAGGTTTCTCTTTTGTATGAGTTCCTTGATGTTTAATGGGGGTGGGCGTCTCATCAAAGGCTTTCCCATGTTTATTGCACTCAGGTTTCTCATCTGTATGAGTCCTTTGATGTGTAAGGCTGGACTTACCACGTTTGATAGCTTCATAAAATGCTTGTCTAATGTGTGTTTTTTCATGTCTAATAAGGTGACATGAACTCTTAAAAGCTTTTGCACATTCACCACATACAAATGGTTTCTCTCCTGTATGAGTTCGCTGATGTTTAATCAGAGTTGACTTCTGGATAAATGTTTTCCCACATTCACTGCATTCATACGGCTTCTCCCCTGTATGAGTTCTCTGGTGTGCAATGAGGGTTGACTTTTGGCTGAAGGTTTTTGCACATTCACAGCATTCATAAGGTTTCTCTCCGGTGTGAGTTCTCTGATGTACAACAAGGTTTGCTTTCTGGATAAATACTTTTCCACATTCAGAACATTTATAGAATTTCTCCCCAGTTTGAATTCTTGGACTTTTATTAAGGAATTGCTTATGGTGGAGGGCTTTTCCATGTTCATTAGGCTCAAAGAATTTCTCTCCAGGTTGAGCTTTATCAAGATTAGAATGGAAGCATAATTTCCAATATGCCTTACATTCATCATCTTTCTTTCTTACATAGCTTCTACTTTGACTAAGAAAATTTAAATTATGTTTTGAACACTTTCCCCATGAATCATATTTAGGGAGTCTTTGTCTTATAGAAACAAAGTTTGTGCTTGGATAAATGATTTTTCCGTATGTTCTGAATTTTGGGCCACTTCCATCCTTCAGTGTTTCCTTATCAACGGATGCAGCTTGCCACAGAGGTTTGTCTTGGCTTTCCTTATGATTATCTATTGGGTCACCAACTTGCCAGAATTCTAGGGAAAAAATGCAATGAATCATCAAACTTGTAAATATTTCTACTATAATGTTATGGCATAAAATTCATTCATAAATGCCCTGCTGTGAACTCCTATTAATGGACCTGAGCTGATGTGGATGAACCCTCCCTATGCTCCACCACCACCACCTCCCTCAACTGTAAATACAAACAAATGCTGGCCCACATTTAACAGAAAATAATTTAATACCCAGTCAAGCTCAAAACCAAGAAAAGAAAGTTTTTAGGTGTCAAAACTGAAGTGAGAGTTTAAAGTGATGGGGTGAACAGAAACTGAAGGTTGAAGATTTGCAGGGGAATCCAGACCACAGGGCACAAATGTTCAGGAAACTAGAATATAATCTGCACTTAAAGTAGGAGCCACAAAGGGCATCCATGTGTGTTAAACAGGAACTAGAAAGACTCCCCACTGGTCAAGGAAACTGGAAAGAAGGATATTATATATAAGAAATCAAAAGCCTGATATGATACTATATATAGAAATCCCTAAAGACTTCACACAAAAACTACTAGAACTGATAAATTCAGTATGGTAGCAGGATACAAGATTAACATCCAGAAATCAGTTACATTTCTTTACACTAACAGTGAAATATCAGAAAGGGAAAGTAAATAAACAACCCCTTTTAAAATCACATCAAAAAGATGAAATACTTAGGAATAAACTTGACCAAAGAGGTGAAAGACTTATATGCTGAGAACTATAAAACATTGATAAAGGAAACTGAAGAGGGTTTGAAGAAAAAATATCCCATTGTCTTGGATTCAAAGAATTGTTAAAATGGCCATACTACCCAGAGCAACCTATAGATTTAATGCGATCCCTATCAAATTACCCATGACATTTTTCACAGAACTAGAATAATCCTAAAATTTATATGGAACCATAAAAGACCCAGAATTGCCAAAGCAATCCCGAGGAAAAAGAACAAAGCAGGAGGCAAAACCCTCCCAGACTTCAGACAATACTACAAAGCCACAGTAATCAAAACAGCATGGGATCCAGGGGGAAGATGGCAGAAGAGTAAGACGCGGAGATCACCTTCCTCCCCACAGATACACCAGAAATACCTCTACACGTGGAGCAACTCCTACAGCACACCTACTGAATGCTGGCAGAAGACCTCAGACCTCCCAAAAGGCAAGAAACTCCCCACGTACCTGGGTAGGGCAAAAGAAAAAAAGAAAAAACAGAGACAAAAGAATAGGGACGGGACCTGCACCAGTGGGAGGGAGCTGTGAAGGAGGAAAGGTTTCCACACACTAGGAAGCCCCTTCACGGGCGGAGACTGCGGAGGTGGAGGGGGCAGCTTCAGGGCCGTGGAGGAGAGCACAGCAACAGGGGTGCAGAGGGCAAAGCGGGGAGATTCCCACACAGAGGATTGGTGCCGACTGGCACTCACCAGCCCGAGAGGCTTCTCTGCTCACCCGCCAGGGCAGGCGGGGCTGGGAGTTGAGGCTCGGGCTTTGGTCAGAGCACAGGGAGAGGACTGGGGTTGGCTGCGTGAACACAGCCTGAAGGGGTTAGTGCACCATGGCTAGCCGGGAGGGAGTCCGGGGAAAGGTCTGGAGCTGCCTAAGAGGCAAGAGACTTTTTCTTCCCTCTTTGTTTCTTGGTGCGCAAGGAGAGGGGTTTAAGAGCGCTGCTTAAAAGAACTCCAGAGATGGGTGCGAGCTGCGGCTAAAAATGCAGACCCCAGAGACGGGCACAAGCCACGGTTAAAAGCACGGACCCCAGAGACGGGCGCAAGCCGCGGCTAAAAGCACGGACCCCAGAGACGGGCGGGAGATGCTAAGGCTGCTGCTGCCACCACCAAGGGGCCTGTGTGCGAGCACAGGTTACTATCCACACCCCTCTTCCAGGGAGCCTGTGCAGCCCGCCATTGCCAGGTTCCCGGGATCCAGGGACAACTTCCCTGGGAGAATGCATGGCGGGCCTCAGGCTGGTGCAACGTCACGCTGGCCTCTGCCGCCGCAGGCCCGCCCCGCACTCTGTGCCCCTCCCTCCCCCTGGCCTGAGTGCATCAGAACCCCCGAATCAGTGGCTCCTTTAACCCCGTCCTGTCTGAGCAAAAACCAGACGCCCTCCAGCGACCTACACGCAGAGGCGGGACCAAAGCCAAAGCTGAGTCCCTGTGAGCTGTGAGATCAAAGA